GAAACGTCTTCAAAATAATACAGCAAGTCCAGTTTCCTTGACTTATTTTTTACAGATATACCATGACCTGCATGAATGAGAACCTTCACAGACATTTTTCTAGTAAGGATGTTTCCCTGCCTTTTCCAGTCAGGGTTCATTCCACAAGAGCTGTCAGCACTGCCTGGTCACTCTCTCGCCAGACATCCGCTCTGCAGATTTGCAAGGTGGCTACTTGGTCGTATGTTGAAACTTTCCGTTGGTTTTAGAAGGTGGCTTTGAATGCATAAGTAGATGCTGATTATGGTCCTGCAGGTGGCAGAGCAGATTAATCCTGTGCTGTGCATGCTGGTAGTTGTAGTCCGTTCCCACCCCTCTATAATTGTTTTGGGATGTCTCCACCATCTTGATTTGCTCTGTGTCCTCTACTGTACTCCTAGAAAAGGATTTTACAGGTAAGTCAAAAATCCCTTCATTCCAGACTACATCAGGCTTAAAATTAAACTTTAATTTTCTGCACAACCTAAACCATCCTACATTCAACGCAATTGTACTGAAGGAAAGAAACTGGGTGGTTGCTATTGGCAACAAGAACTGCTCTTCCTCTACACTGATCCACTATTTTCCAATCAAAAGAATGGACAGCCTGCCAACATAATCAGCCAAAGTACGTGGAGGAGATGGTGGATTAAGGTCACCTATCTCTTGATCACCCTTACCCTTGCAGGGGGAAGGGGCAGGTATGACACTTCCATATGTATAATAAACAAATACATTTCTTCTCCTGGCTGACCCCCTTCAGAGATTACCCATAATATGTCCTCCGCCACTTTAAAAGTGATGCCTCCGCAACCATACAGATCCCCCTGTGCAATAACCGCAGTGAAGATTGCTGACCGAACCGGACATCCATCCAAAAACATCAGCTCTCTATAGTCTCTATTGGGGCCTTTTACAGATTTGCTGATATTTAGGGCCCATTCACACCAGCAGCATGTGTTGTACTCTGTCTGTATAACATGTGGCCGCTGGCATGCGCTGCAAAAGGGCAGTGTGTCATTAGAACGCATCGCACTGTTGACCTTTTTTTTGTTAACTTTATCGATATGTTGGACGGTGAGAGACATCACGGGTTCTTAGACCACCAGACCCGGGGGAGAAGATGCTGCAGGAACCGGTCTAGCAGCCAGGTGGGTGTTTCTTCTTTATTTCCACCCTTAGAGAAAAACAAACAGTTAACCCTTGCAGTGTGAGGGTTCTTTAAAGGTTCAGTCCACTAAAATAGATAATGCAGTTTGGGGCAGATACTGTAGAGTTAAAGTAGAAGTGAAACTAAAACTTATTTTTTTAGTTTTGGATAGAGTAAGGGAGGATTATAACCCCGTCAGGCTTTTTTTGCCATCTGTGTCCCATTCGGAAGATTTCCCCTTCACTTCCTGTCTGAACAGGAAGTGAGAGGAAATCTCTCCAAAAAGGTGGAAATCCATCGTGGTCAGCAGGGTCACCAGAACTAGCCTCCCCATTGGAAGACTTTCCTTCTATTCCTATTCTGATTATGCATATGGTGTGAATGAGCCCTTAAATGGTCTGTCCACTAAAATGAATAATTTAGTATTTGGCAGTCCTTTTTAATCTGCAGTTGTATTAAAAGAATAGCTGGAGATCCTGCCATGAAGATCTTTGTTCTTCCTGATATAGAGCGACAACCGTTTCCCAGTTGTGCTCCTGTGTGGTCACCCTGTACCATGCTCCTGGTGGAGGCACACATTACAAAAGCATGGTCCACCATTTCCACTAAACTGGTTTTACAGTGAGAGTTGAGATCCACCCATATACGAAGCTGCTTATATCTCCGGAAATAATAATTGTTTTGATATGCGGTTTTTTTTTGCTGGAGGTAAACTCTCATTTTTTCATAAAAGGCTCAGTTTGAATTGTCCACATTTCTGAAATGTTTGCTTTAAAAACAGATCGGAATGAGTGCTGTTTGGGAAAACCTGACCTTTGCTAAGAATAAAAACGTTCACCTGTTGCATGCCTTCCCTTTTTATAGGGCTACATGGCTTTTTTTTTTTTGCAGTCCAGCCCACCTGCCTGTCTCTATTCATGCCTAGACAAGAATTACATGTCCTGCTCCCGAAGCCTCCTGAGATATGAACATTATATATCCCAGGAGGCTTTAGCCTCTACTGCAACTAGAGGACGCCATGCATGATTAAGGGCCCAGCTGCCTTAACCCAGAATAGACAGCTGGCTCAGATGACATCAGAGAAGAAGATGGCGGCACAGAGCCCGGCGCATGGCAGAAGAACGTGCACTGGATTTGCTAGGTGTATGTGAATTCAAGATAATACAAACATACTTACACACAAATTCACGCGGGGGACGGGGTCTTACTCTTTAATTGAAACCATAAGGGGGTTATTGGGAAGGCAGGTAAAGGCAACCTGTCATTAAGAAAACCAGGAGTAATTAACATAATCTCTGTATCGTACCCACCCAGGAGTGGGCCATTTAACTTAATACACCCCATAGCTGCAGATGTTTGGAAGGTAGGTATTGCCTTAAAGTGACTCTGTGACTTATAAAAAAAGCTGCTATTAGGAACGTGCAAACACATACATACTACAGATCTCTTCAGCATCCTATAGTTCCCACTGCTATGGCCACACTGATCCTCCCCACTCCAGCCTAAGAATGTGGACAGTCTCTCAAGGTCATTATGTACAATAGGGGACCAGCGGTAATTTACATATCTCCCTAGGCTATTATTTCCTATTGTTGCTTTTACTTGTATCTTTGGAAAGCCGAATAATGTATTGCAGCAAAGGTACTGAACCGTGGGCTCTATACCTCTGGTAAAGGTTATCTTTGTTAGAGTATAT